GGTGAAGAATTGGAAATCGGTAGAAATGTTGCGCGAAGAAATCAGGAGAATCTACATCACATCCTTTCTTCCCTCCCTTGAGCTTGGTCGGTACTAGACTCGGTAGCCTTAAGGATAGGGCTGATATTTTTGGAGGTTGACTGGGTATGTGGAGTCAGACCAGATGGAACCAAATTAGTAGGTCCAATCGGTGACACACGGTTGGATGGGGCACGAATAAATTTGTTCATGGTTCATAAGAACCATACATTCTTACAGACACAACAAAATTGTGTTTCCTTTCTCTTTCCAAATTCTATGTACAGGATCCGGGTGGTGTTTTGTTCCTCTTCAAAAGGGTGGAGAGTGTTTTTGTCTGACATCCTTATTTCAGAGCTTCCTTTGGATCCAGCGGAGTGGGTCTGGAGGTCCTCAAGGAGAAACAAGCCGCAAAAGTTGCAAACATTGATGGTCAAAGCCTCTTATCGATTGCTCAAAGCTAGAGTGGATGTATATGCAATAATGTAGGAAAGTGGGCTAGGGATTTGAACATTTACCTAGATTCACTTAAGCCAATCTCATGTTGTAAAGAATTCAACGAAAGACCGACAAAATTTGCCTCTCTACAATGGCAGATATCTCATAGATGCCGACAAATGATTGCCTGACAGATCATTTGTCTCTAGAGCAAAAAAGGATAAACTCTCCCTTGGTGTCAAGCTTGTGTGGAAGTATTTTCAAGTAGGAAAATCAAGTAAACAACAAAACACTTTTTCCTACAATGTCGAGGGGCAAAATTGTTGTGGAGAAGATGGGATTGTGGGAAGAACAAAGTTCAACAAACTAACAGGGTTAGACTGGCCTTGGAATTGGAAAGCGATCCTGCTGGGTCACTGGAACCCGGTTATAATTGACTTATCAGTTTTTCAACAAAACCTTTTAAAATTTAGGACGAAAAGTTGTGGTGTGGACACTGTGGCACAAATGATGTGTCCATATTCTGGACAAAGTGAGAATAGAAGGAGAGGGTCTCTGAACTCATCCAACAGTTTATCCAAACGGAAATTGGGGCACATTCAATTTGGGTCAAATTAAAACAAGATTTACAGAATCCACACTAAAAAATGGATATATATAATATAAAAAAAAGGGAAAATTCACACCAGACTGGCTGGGGGATACCTCAGGGGAGAGACTGGGAGATATGGTTTGGCCAGGAGTGGAAGGGGAAGATGTCTCCTTCAAGAGGGACTATCACATTTCCTTTCAAGAATGGTTCAAGATCCTCCCAGGAGCTTCATTTTAGATCTGGACCCGGTTTCCAGCAGGTGTTGCTCCCCACCAATAGATGGAGCGGCCCGCTAGGCAAAGCCTCAATCCCGGTGGTTCTCTTACCACCACCA